TACATTAGAATCGTAATGACTTTTATTACATAAATCGTTAACTTTTGAAGTTTTCTTTTCAACATCATCATTGTTTCACAGACAGATAGGGCTGCATGCAAAGCATGGATTTTAAATAACTTGTGAAGAGAACAGCTTTTGAATAACCAAAGAATTTACCTAATAGTGTGAAAAACTCAAACCTTTTGGGTGCTATTGCTTTTCTGTTAATTACTCTAGAGTAAAATGATCTGAGAAGTGTTTAACTGCAACACTAGGCTGCACTGTGTGTACACTATAGAAAAACACTAAAGCTAAAGCCAAAAAGGACAAAAAACGTAATCAGGTATTCTGGCAAGTCTAATTAAATAGCAGAAGGTGAGGAAGTGAGATGAAAAGGTGAAAAACTGCCCAGTAACAGTTTACCTGAGATTGCTCATGATTACATTTGCCTAATCAAGCTTTTGAACCTGTAGTTCAGTTAGGTTCAATATAATCACCTATCACACGTAAAAAAATGTTTCAGAAAGCACCTTAACATTGGTATAATTAAGAGAATCTCAAGCTTGTTGTGGAGTCATTGAGATCTCTTAAATTGTAATTACCACATGGTGAGCCTATGGGGTAAAAGTCATGAGCAATTTTGGTTGTCTTGTCTTTTCTCCATTTTAATTGGTGTTATGTTGGAAAAATTATATATACAGTATACAGCTATGTAATGAGTATTATGTTCTGAGCATCTAAAAAAGTTTCCACTCTATTCATGCATGTATGTTTTAGAATGAAAATGTTTTAATCAAAATTATTTGATTAATTGTTCGTGACTGAATGTGATATCCTACACTCATAAAGAACAGAACGTTTTCAGTCTTGAACAGAATACACAAAATCCTCACAGGAACTGTGAAAGTCAATCCAGTGGACCTGTTCAGAATCTACAGTAAAAGACAAACCAGAGGACGAAAGGGGAAACTACATGGATTAACAATTAAAACTGAGAACAGGGAGCACTTCTTTGCGAAAGGGTTGTGGGAGAATTGAACAAGGTGCACCGTGTTGTCAAAGCCCACACCCTGGCTTGTTTCAGAAAAGCATCTGCATGAGATCTTTGGGTCAAAGAGATTATTCAGTGCACCTTGCTCAATTGATTGCTCATTGATCTAAAGATTTTGTCCTGGCATTTCTTGGTTGAATCCCAGGAAATCGGTTCCAACTGCATGGCACAGCAGCTTGCTCCAGACCCCATCAAATCTTTCCATTAATAAATGCTTCTGGCTTTCAGTCTTAAATACACTCTACCTTAGTTTCTAGTTACCTTAGGTTCTAGTTTCACTTTCAGTGGATTGACTTCATCCACACCATTCAGAATTTTAAATACCTCCATAAAGTTGCATTATAATCACCTCTTCTCAAGATTACACTTGAGCAAGATCATATTCTAGGAGCCCCTGACGATTGTTCCCTGTCTACGTCTACGTTTATACGTCTACGTTACTGATTTGATAATGAGTTCCTTTACTGGCATTATCTTTGTGACCTTGATACTTTGCCTTGGTTTTAGTATGAATTCTAGATATTGTAGTGAGCATAGCCTCAGGATCTTCGTGCAGAGGAAGCGATTATTAGATTAAAATACTGTCAGGGCTTTCTGAAATTTATAGTAGTGTCTCTCTGTCCTTGCAGTTTTTGACAGTACTAAAGACCTTTCGTGACCATGAGATATACTCATGAAACACATCCAACAGTTTCTCTCAAATGCATGACCTCATCTGTGGGATTCAAATAATTTGAGGATTTCAGTGCTACAGATATGTCTTTCAAGCTGTATAGGAGGCTACCTTTGCCCTGGCAGAAAGAGAAAATAACAGATTTTTTAATTCGGTCAATTAGTTCTGTGTTGCACGGTTTTTCCTCTTTTCAGGGATTAGCCTCCTTTAAACAACACTAATGAGATAATGTTAACAATGATACCTCTCAGCATGAATATATTAATGAAGACCATCAGACTTGTGGATAAGTACCTATTTTGTTCTGTTTTTTTTCTCACTTTTCTATGTTTTAATTTATTTAGATAAGGTGTATGCTTACAAAGAATCCTATGACTAATTGCTTGGTTTATATCATTAAAAATATGATCAGTCAAAACTAACCTACAAACTCTATCGTGTCCACATAGGGCTGTGCTTTATAATCATATCTAATCACTGCATGTTTATTAGTAAGGTAGCTCTTTTTACATTTTCTTTTATCACACTAAGATGCCAAGACACTCTTAATAGATGAAAATGTTCGTGGTTATAGGCATCATTTGCCTGTGCAAGGTGAAATAAACTGATTTGACACTCTTGTACCAGGTGGCTGTCACTGATTTTAGAAATATAAAAAGCCAACGACATATTTGGCAAGTGCAAGCAGTTTAGGTTAGATAAGTGAAAGAAAATTATGTTTTAACCTAGCAATGGGTTAATAGTTAAGAAAAGTTACCAAATGTCATTATAGTAGGAAGGTCTCCTGAAATATTACAGTCTAGACTATTCTGAAATCTCCGTTTTCACTGAACATACAGTATATACTGTATAGGGAATATACACAGAAATACGATATTGGTTTATTTTTCTGGCATCTACTCATTTTCAAAAATTAGTGTTATAGTTACTGTATATGTCTCCTTAATCGGAATTCCACCGATTCCAAGATTTTGAAGGCCTCATTAGACTAGTTTAATCTTTTGTCTTGTAGTAGCTCTTTGGAGATTGTCACTTGGTTATGAATCCGTCCCTTCTTGTGAGTAAGATGCTACTGATGAGCTGTGGATTTCTTGCAAAGAAGTGTTTCTTTTTTGTGGCCAGTCCAATCTCTGGGTTTTCTGCATGAAAGAGCACTGTATTCCAGACAGGTAGGATTTACTCTCACCACTCTCATTCTCGGGCCGTGTGAGCTGGACCCAGGAGCTCCTCAGGCAAATGAGATTTCGGCAAGGTTTGAATTTACTCATGCTGCTGACAGATTTACAGAATTGTGCCGGAAATAATACTGCAGGAAGGCACACAGACCTATCATTTCAAAGATAATAAACCTAGCTAGTAAAGGCCATTTATATGTTATTGTCAATAAGCTTAAAGAACGTTAGCAGAGATTCATTACTGGCATACTATATGTCTTTAGTTTTTTTGCCTGAATTTTGAACATTGCTTCTTGTGTAAAGATTTCATTTTTAATTTTGATTACACTTATTGAGAATAATAATGTTCCTAATAGACTTGTGATGTGGTCCAGTACAAAATAGACTGGTGTCCTTGTTTCTACAGTATATCTAATTATTTTCAGTTAAGAATATAAATAGTAATATAAATTTAATATGAACATGTTAAAAATAATATTTACAGTATTTCTGAGCATATCTCATCATTTTAAACTTTGAACAAAAAGCGTAGTAATAGACTGTTTATTTAACCTAATTACAATATTTGACTTCTACAACATATTTTGCATTGCACAGATGAATCATTGTCATATTTGTTAGATCAAGGCTCCCTTTTGAAGATAATGTGACATTGAGGAGCTTTTGTGAATGAATGAAATGAAAGACTGAATAAACTTAGATGTCTGCCAAAAGAAGACATAAAAGCTCTGCACAAAAAGTAATATGCTTCATTTATAAAAGCTTAATTCTAATTGAGTTTATTAGCACATTATATAACTGGATTACTTTGAATATTCAACAGTCTTAGATAGCAGTGCAAAAGTTAAGTATTGAAAGAACTAGAATAAAGGAGTTTGCTGTCTTCTTGAATAAATTAGTGTCTTTAGTAGGATTTTTTAAAAGACTAGTATATTTGTTTTACATTTTTTATTTTTAAATGAATCCACCAAAACACAGTCCAATGGAATTGTAACAGTATCTTCTAAAAGCCACAACACTCTATAAATTCACCATGATGGGTTGAAAAAACTGTCAAATTTAATTTCCATTTTGTTATGAACTTTTTGTTATGCAGTATTTTTTGTACTGTATGTTTTCATAGGAAACCAAAGGGTATTCATCAAATAAAAACAGGCAATACATACTGATAGCTGGGTGACAGATAGGGAGAGAAATGAGTAAAACACCCAGCATGAGTCTACACCTTTATCAAATTATTAAAAAGCAAAGGCCTTACAGTGATAACCATTCTACTTTAACATAAAATATCATTCTATTTAAACACAAAGGTGAATGTTTTGTTTTCTTTGAAATCAGATTTACAGAGTTTATATTTTTAATTACTTTACAAATGTTAAGAACAGAGTGTCTGCAACTGGATAATAAAGTTTAGTTTCTTTCTTTCATAACATTATCACACTAATATTACCATAATTTGAGCTTTAAGGGAGAAAAAAAAATCTACCTAGTTTTTCAGCTTGTGAATTCATGGATAATCCTTTAAATCTTTTGGGGACATGTAAATTGGTCAGGGAACGTGAATGAAAATGAATAAGATCCCACAAAACTGTGTTCAGCAAATTCCATAGAATATCTGGAGGGTAATGTCTCAAAATAAGTCTGTGCACCACATGAAATAACCTGTTAATCTTTTGAATACATTTACAGCTTTAAGTACATTATTATATTCCAGAATCAAGCAATGAAACTGTAGCTCCCTAACTCTAATTTAACTTTCAATTCTAAAAGCTGTAAGCTACAACATAGTATATAAATATTAATAGATTTGCATGTTAGTGAATTCTCTGTAATTCCAAAGAACACTAAAATGCAAAAAAAAAAAATACTGTCTGTAGGTACTCATTCTTAAAAATAACATTCTTACTCATCTGTACCATACTCGAAGAAAAGATTTGTTGTTTTGAGTATATTTATTTTTTTAAAGGATGGTGTGAATTATTGCAGTATCTGTACAAAAGAGACAGTATCCTTATGATAGAGTGTTATTTTACAGGGCTAATAGGGTGCAAACAGCATACTGTACTGTACATCGATTCTTCAACAATATTCACTATTTTTTCTTTTTCTATGTTTTAAGAACATCGGTTGTGGGAGGCCCAAGCAGTAAACCCAGGACTTTCAAGATAAGGACAGCCATCACCTATCACCCTGAAGAACCTTTGCACCACCAACAGGAAAAATACCTTTCATGAGCTGGTGTAGCATGAATTACTACTTTATTGCAAATTAAATTATAAAAGTGGATCTTGTTTGACAAAGGTGTAGCCATCTGAGCACTTACTTTCCCAGTCAATATGAAAAGAAGAGTTTGAGCAGCTGCTGCAGACTGAACTTTCACTTGCTTGAAAATCACAAAAATTAGAAAAGTCTTTATTGTGCATTTGTTAGAAAATCTGTTCTTTGCATTTTAGTATGCTGTGGCACTATAGAATGCATTTAATTAAAAAACTGGCTAATATGATGACAAAAGGCAAAGAAAATCAGCTTATTGTAGGTATCAGCATACAAGTAATAATATATCTCATGGTTCTTGGTAACCTACGTCTAAGGCTAAATTTATTTGAATGCTACCTGGACTGAGTACAACCTCTCTGCTTTCCTTGGAAAATATCTTTCTGTTTCCTTGTAATAATCAATGGATGTCCTGCACAAACACAAACCCTTTGAGGCTACTTCAAGTTCTCCACAACACACTGGTACTGTGGATCCTCATTAAATACAGACTGGAGACTGATGTGTTTTTTATCATTTCCACGTATTGTTCCCTGTCAGCTTGGATTCTGGCTTAGGTATTTCAAAATAGAAATGACTTTGTCTCCTACATTGGCCATAATCTTATTCCTGGAAAAAGCAGTAGTGAGCGCCAGTGAATGGTCTCATGATTATGGGTCCTGGACTGTTAAGACAACATCCTGCCGTTTGAAAGCCACGCTTTGGTAGTAGCTGCAAGTCTACACCGAGGTAGAAATAGACTCCACACTTCAAAAAGGAGCAGTCTGTCAGAGGCAACAAGTAGAAGGTTTAACAACCCCAAAACACCAAGAGGAAGGTAAGTTCCATCTCTTTCTTTTTCAATGGAATTTGAAAAGCATCAGTCAACTTCCTCAATAATGCCAAGGTTTTTCTCAGTATTATACAGTACATGCATTTCTGGTCTCTTCCAAACACTGCTTACATTTTATTCTTATACTTTAGATTATTAATCAAAATATGGCTTATAAGTCAGTTTTTCCTTTTTTACTTCCTGATTTGTGTGCCAATAACAGTTCCTGTTTTCACTCTTCTAACATTTATATGCCTTCCAAATATTGCAATTTCTACTATAACCTTTTTACAACATCATATTTGTTTTATTGTTCTAAAATGATTATTGCAAACCAAGTATTAAATAATGAATGGTGCTTTGCATGTAATTCTGTAAAACAGCCATATCTTTGGCATTAATGTAGCAATACATGTGCATAATATGCAATCCTTCACATACTCTACAACTGGAACATTTGTTTGTTGCATTTTATGCAGCGTGGTAAATTATTAGTTCAATATAAAACATGAACATTCATCAATTCAACAAATAGTTTTCAAAAATATATTAGAAATGTATTAATGTAGGCAATACTTAAAAACTTTCCATCTGGGAAATGTCTTTATAGAACTTTTGACAGAGTCAATCTTAAATTTAATTTCTTGCTGTGAGATAAAATAGTTTTTGTTTTATAACCAAGGATATTAACTAAACACTGGAAAATGCTTTTCATGTAAACTGATAGTGAATCAGAAATACCTCATGTCTACCTTTTACATTTTATTGGTTGATATTTTACCAAGGGGGCCTTTTACCAGCCTAAGTGAGAAATCAAAGTCAAAATTTGACACGTTCATACCTTAGGTCAAAGAGAACTGGAAGAAAGAAGTCTGTCTCTTTTGTTTTTTGTTTCTGGTTGACTTCAGGAATACATTCTCCTTCCTGCTGTGTTTGTTTGAAAAATGAATGAGCCTGTGTCAGTGTTGTAATTCCAAAGAGTCAACATTGTAAAGCAAAGCAAGGTATTTTGGAGGTTTTTTACACATTCAGCTCAGCTTTGAGCAGAGAGCAGGGAAATGTAAATGTTTTTGGATTTTAGATTGTTGTAAAACTGTGTTACTTAATAAGAAATGCATTATACATTTAAACAAAACTTTTCAATTGCATGTGATGTGTTTTTAACCTTATGGGAAAAACAATACACTGCATGAGATTTATTGAGACATCAAATAATTTAATGTTTTTCTGTGCTAAAATGCCCATGCACATTGTTTCATTTAAACATTTGGATTACTATGACTTTTCATCACTTCGATGGGATATTGAAATGCACCACTTAAGGAATTCCTCTTCTTCATATGAAAGTTACCATATCTTGGCATGTTTCAGAAACCATTGTTTTATCAATGTCAGTCATGCCAGTTGTTGAGGATGTGGTCAATTATGTTAAGGTTTTAGGAAATAAATTTAGTTTAGATGTCTACAGGTTTCCAAAGTTTGAAATTAGCTGCTTTGGTGATGGTGATGTCTTTTTATACTGTAAGATCGATAGTATAACATTATATCCTTTCAATAATATACTGTAGATACTATAGTGGTGGTTTTGCTTTTATTGCTTCTACAGTAAAAGTGCTTTCCACTAATGAAACCATTACAGTTATATGAATACAGTACAATGTTAAGATATATATAAAAAAAACATTTATAGCACGATGTTTCTATATTGCATTGGTCTGTGAAAATTGCAGACATCTCAACTTTTTATATTTAAATGTACACATGAATTGAACTCCCAGCTTCAATGCAGGTGTTGGACTATAATCAAATTTTGCTTTTTTAAACTGTTGTGTTTTTTATCCAGACTTCAGGTTACCTTCATCTGGAGGCTTATTTATGGTACTTTACACCTCAATTGTAAAATATGACAATACACACAAAAGATATACAGCAGCTTTTGTGAAAATAACTTTTTTCAAAACGTTTTTTTTTTTGCCAAATCCAATATTGAACAGCTTTGAGCTGCCTTAAGAATTTTCTATGCTCTATCAAGTGAGCAATTGACCTAGATGCGGTAAATCTTGAAAAGTGAATTAAACTTTAAGCGCAAAGAAGTGAAAAATATGTACTATTCAAGAAGCATAGCAGATATTAGCTCATTTAGGATATGGAAGACCTATTGGGATGCAGATCTGATTGTGTCTGCACTTGCAGACCAGTATTTTGTGCTTGAGTGGACTGCATATGTAATATGAGGTATTGAGGTAATACGTTACCACAATTTTTAAAATCAGTGTTTTTCTTGTAAGTGGTTTTGAAGTTCGGGCAACCTGAAAACCGTTAAGTGGATTGGTGAAATGAGATTTGCTCATTTCAGTCTGCCTGTGGCTTTGAATATTTGAAAGAAACACAACAGGTTGAGATGAAAATCTCACTTGACCATACGGACATTTATCTTGCAAATGTCATGGAGGCAGTTTTATCCAATTTAAACATCTCATTCTTGAACAGAATTATGATTTGTTGAAGAAAGCACTGTGGCCAGAGGACTTAGAGTACATAGCGTTTGTTAACTTCTTTCCAGCTGAAACTTAATTTCAAAATAAATACAGTACAGTACGTGCTATAAAATTTAAGAAACAGTCTTTCTTCTTCAAATTGAAATGTAGCTGGGGGTAGGAGACAAGATACTATTAAAATATAAATTCATGCTGATTTCTTTCTGAATAGTTGTAACAATTATTTTGTGAACATTACATGTCTTATGAATCTCCCCTTCATGTGCTCTTACATACAGTATATACAATACCCTGTATTCACTCACCTGATGAAATAAAAACATTTAACATCAAGTAACAGAGAGCTTTACAGACTGGATAATGTTATTTGCTTGAATTTAATTTTAAAAATGATATATAGTACAGTAATCTTAAATTAATACCAATTTAGTTGGTATTTTTTAATTACTCCTCTGGCAGGGATTCCACTCTAGTGTGCTATGCGGCTCTGGCAATTCGGAGGGGATGTACAGCATGTGATTAGTCTGCATGTACTGTAGAAAGCTCTAGGTCCTTCAGATTCTTTGTTTTCATAAGTGAATTTCAGTCTTGAGTTAGAATCGCCAGTGTTCAATGGGCTTGAAGTCTGGAAATTGAAATGGTCAGTCGAGATCATTTATTTTCTGTGCAGTTAACCATTCCTTTGTCAGCTCTGATGTATACTTTGACTGGAATGCCCACTTCCTGACAGCGTGACCACTATGTGAGTAGCCTTAAATGTCTTAATAATGGACATAACAGCAGAAAATGATCAGTGATATGAATAAATCTGGACAGTAGTGTAAACAATTGTAATATTATTACACTAATATTGTAATAAATAGTGTAAAAAATTATAAAAATATTTTTCCATGGTAATCATTGATTTAGAATGGCATTTTGGTCATTAAAGTATGGATGTTAGTCTGGGTTAAATGTTGTCAAATTGGCAATGTGATTTATTGCAGGTGTGATCTTTCCAAAACATTGTTTCAGAAGAATTATCAAGTATACTAACAGATTGTTGCACTCAGGAGAATTTGTAAAAGTATTTTATTTGAAAATTTGAGGAAAAGGTATCAACAGATATAAATTATTAAATAGAATTTAATTTACAAATACTTGGCACTTAAATAACTAAATAGTAACATAGACTAACTACATGGATAATTTCATTTAATAAGTGCACTCTGGAAAAAATGTTTGAAAATACTCATGCTAACTAGATTTGAAAATTCATTCTTTGTGGTAATTAGGTTCTTATTTACTCCCCAAAAGATTAGAACAATCTGTAAAATGCCAATAAAAAGCTAACCTGCTGTTTATTTTAAGTGGCAAAATCATCAATCTCCTCTAAATAATTCAGACTAAATCAGCCTTAATTGATTACAGCCAAGAATAAAACAACACCCCATACTGTGACAAAGTACACTCAGAGTGACACTTATTTAGTCTTTTTAAAATAGGAAATGTAATATTTCAAAACAGAATAAATAAAATCAGAAACAATGGTGGCCATATTTCAAGTAAATTTTAAGTATTACATTTAGATTTAGTAGTTTGGACAGTCGGTTTCATTTAGTACCCACATTGTTGTCGTTCTGAACTGCAAAGTAACTCCCATTCAGCCCACCGGACACAATTATAAGACATCAGTAATCACAAATGCCAAATCAAAGAGCAACATTCGCAATAATAACTAAAGTGTCCTGTGTATAAATGTCAGTCCATATTGACAGCTCCTTGTACAGTTTTATGGTAATCTATAGTTTTAATGGACAAGAAAGAAAAAGATCAGAATCTATTAATCTGTTGTGATTTAGGTTAAAATAACTTTTGCCAGGATTGAGTTATAAAAAACACCTAAGCAAAGAACTGCTTACTCATTCTCTGTGATTATAAAATAATAAATCCCAAAATCGAGTGCTGACCTAGAGTAGGTACCATGAAAGAATCATGTGTATGGTTTTGTCATTTTTTTATATGTTGCAGATTAAAACATTATATAATGTGAACAGTTTGATTTATGAGGTAGGTTTCTCTGCTTCCTTCCATTTCCTTTCATCCTGTAAAGTGTCACGGGGGAGCTGGAGCCTAGCCCGGTGAGCAATGGGTGCAAGGCGGGATACACCCTGGACAGGACGCCATCATGGGGCACACACAAACCCAAACACACACACTTTTCCAAGAAGCCAGTTAACCTACCAGGATGTCTTTGGATATTTGGAGGAAACTGTAGAGAGTTAAATCTATACTATCTCTCACAGGTTTTCTTGGTCATACTGTAGCAGTTCAGTTTTATTTTGCAGATTCCTGCTGCAATTACATGAGATCACACCTCTGAAAGATGCTTCAGTAATGCAAATACCTGAGTAACAAGTGTACGCAGTGGAATGGCTGTGGTTTTCAGTACCTCTTACTCAGCAGCTGTTGGTTGTCTGTGTGTACTACAGCTAATAAATTGGAGCAAATTGTCACCTTCTCAGCCTG